CGTTCTTGGGAAGCGAGGAAGGAGCAGCTAATGCACCTCAGGCTGAACAACTTGTTCGGCGGAAGATCTCTTTTCCACGACCATAGACTTATGAGAAATAGATACATTAAATTTTAGTATTTTAAATTAATGTTTTCTTATATTTACACATTAAATTAGTTTAATTTAATGTGTAAATATAAGAAAACACCAAACCTTACGGATTTTATCACGTTTAGTTCCCAAATAATTTTTTTAGACAATACAGTACAGTCTTTTAAACGTGGTAGAGCCACCCTGCTGTGTACTATGGATTCAGTACGAATAGGTCGGCTCGACCAGTTAGGATCAGACACATTTATATTTTAAAAAAAGTCAAAATCGAATCGGTGGAAATAGTTAACGAGGTTGGTAGCAGGAAATGGTATCATTGCGTTAACAAAAAAATGTGCGTGTCACGCTCCCACGCGACGCGTGACTGGAGCTTACTCCTGAAAAACGATTGTCTTAAAATATACACAATGGGCAAAGGAAAGAAATGACGCCATATATTGCATGCCGAGCGCAAAGCGCGTGGGTATGTTCTACTAGATCCTAAAAATCAAGATTCCAACGTTTTGTCGCATGAAATCGTATCCAGCAATCATATTGTTACGAGCTTGGGGTTCGAGACGATTATAAAACTGCCGATTGAATTACCAAAATTGACACTTTAATTACACAACACTAATTACAATCTAAAATCACACTAATAATAAAACACAGTTCGCCGTTATTTCGCTTCGAAGTATTCTCTTGTATCGCCCATTCAATACTGCCTTCGTCGTGGTGTATACCGGCCTTATATAGGGCCTCAGATAGTTTCCAGAACCTTCTACTGTAGCGATATCTAGAATTTTCGAGTACATATCGGTCCCGAAATTTCTGGAAGGATCTCGACTCTCCTAGTTCTGCTACTCGACACTAGAGGGCGCTAGTGTAACTAGTGTTGCCATGTACAAAACATTACATGTTACAAAACAACAAGGTTGCTCAATATGACAACCGCCTGTCGGAAGCTGAAACCCGAATCGACCAAGTGTACAATCGGGTTGACAACGTGATGGCTGACGTGAAGAAAACGCTGGACGACCTCAAACTTGGGGATGGAGTTACAGCTCCCGTGGTAGCTACAACACCTTCGCTACGTGGATTCAAAGTGCCGCCTTTCGACGGGACTTCTTCCTGGCCGGCCTACAAAATCCAGTTCGATGCTATCATGAAAGCAAACGGCTGGAATAAAAGTCAGGCCATGACTGCACTCACCCTAGGCCTGGGTGACCAGACCTTAACTGTTCTGGAAGCTCTCGGTAAGGAAGTGACTTACGAGCAGCTCCTTGAGGCATTGGAGGCGAGATATGGCGACGCCCACCTGGAACACGTCTTTCGTGCGCAGCTCAAAGATCGCGTGCAACGCAGTAACAAAAACCTGCAGCAGTGGGCCCTTGAGGTGGAGAAGCTGGTTCCAAAAGCGTACCAGTCTGTACCTGCGCTCATTGTAGGGAACCTGGTGCAGACATTCATCGACGGCATCCGCGACCTTGAAGTCAGAGCTGCTGTGAGGCTCGGGCACCACGAGACGCTTAAGGACGCCTTGACCCATGCACTGGAGGTGGAAGCCGTGAGACAGGATCATCGTTCCTACCGCGTCAGGGAGGTTGCAGCAGTTACAGTTCGGGACCGCAATAACGGCTACCGCCCTAGGTGCTACGGCTGTGGGCAAAGGGGCCATCTTCGATCCAGCTGCCCTAAGCGAACTGTGGAAAGGGAAGGTGATCGATTTCGAGAAGGTAGTGCGGCTAACAGCACCGCCCAACACAGCGGGAAATCTCATGGCAACGCAGATGTATTGTCAAGAAGACTTTGTCCTGAAGATTGCAAGAATTGTACTAGGCAAGAGGGTAAGGAAGTGGTATCTGTGAGGATACTCAGGATTGACCAGCTCAGCAATGAGTGGAAGGACAGCCTACAACATGCACAGCAGGAAGATTCGGACATTAAGCCGATTCTGGAAAGGATGAAGGCCAGTGCTCCTAAGCCCAAGTGGAGCGACGTCTCAGCAATGAGTTCGATCACGAAAAGCTATTGGGCCCAATGGCACAGCTTGCTAATTCATGATGGAGTCCTGTGCCGTAAATGGGAAAATGGTCGGGGAGACAGATGTCATTTGCAAATGGTTGTCGCTAAGGCTAAAGTACCGGATGTTCTACAACTGTACCATAGTAGTTCTGCAGGAGGCCACCTGGGAGTTAAACGAACTCTCCTGAAGATCCGAGAACGGTTTTACTGGGTCCACTGTCGTGACGATATCGAGGACTGGTGCCGCAAATGTATAAGTTGTGCGGCTGTAAAGGGACCTCAAATTCATAGTAGAGGTGCATTGAAATTGTACAATGTTGGTACACCATGGGAGAGGATAGCCATTGACGTTGCGGGGCCGTTCCCGGAAAGTGAAAGTGGTAACAAGTATTTCATGGTTGTGATGGATTACTTCACTAAGTGGCCAGAAGTCTTCGCCATTCCAAATCAAGAGGCTTCAACAGTTGCAGATAAACTAGTTCATGAAGTCTTCTGTCGTTTTGGAGTACCTTTAGAGATTCACAGCGATCAAGGAAGGAATTTTGAGTCTCAAATATTCCAGGAAACTTGCCGAGTTATGGGTACTCATAAAACACGAACAACTTCTTACCACCCACAATCTGATGGAATGGTAGAACGATTTGATCAGACATTGGAGAGGTACCTGGCAAAAGTTGTGGAAAAACGACAACGAGATTAGGACAGGCACATACAACCGTTTTTGTTGTCATATCGAAGCGCTGTTCACGAAAGTACATCAGTGACACCAGCTTTCGCAAACTTTGGGAGAGAATTACGGCTACCTGCAGACCTGATCACCGGAATATCACCTGATGCCCCACGCAGTATAACCGATTATGCAAATGACTTGCAGAACAAAATGAATGACATTTATGAGCACGTCAGACAGACGGGCCAGCAAACGTCTGAGAAGATGAAAACACGGTATGACCGCAAAATTAACAACAAAGTGTTTGACGAAGGTTCACTAGTGTGGTTACACAATCCAGCTCGCAGCAAAGGGAAATCTCCAAAGCTTCAAGCTAAATGGGACGGACCGTACCGGATTGTGACAAGGATCAATGACGTAACCTACCGGATACAGAAAGGTGCCAGGGGTCCATGTGGATCGAGTGGCGCGTTATTATGGGGCCAATAATGCTCGGGACGAGCATGTCTTAGGAGGGGGCAGTGTTGCGCGCCACTATTAATGTCTTGTACATGGCAACACTAGTTACACTAGCGCCCTCTAGTGTCGAGTAGCAGAACTAGGAGAGTCAAGATCCTTCCAGAAATTTCGGGGCCGATATGTACTCGAACATTCTAGATGTCGCTACAGTAGAAGGTTCTGGAAACTAGCTGAGGCCCTATATAAGGCTGGTATAGACCACGACGAAGGCAGTATTGAATTGGCGATACAAGGGAATACTTCGAAGCGAAATAACTGCAAACTAAAGTGATTGTGTTTTATTATTAGTGTGATTTTAAGTTGTAATTAGTGTTTTGTAATTAAATAGTCAATTTTGGTAATTAGCTCGGCAGTTTTTAATTATCTCGAACCTCAAGCTCGTAACAATGTTATACATATAAATAATATAAAAAGCACATTGTTACAAAGATAAATGATTGTTGAACTTATTACTATTTTTTTTAAATTGATTAATTGTTTTTTTTAATAAAAAAAGGGGTTTTAGTGGCTTATGGTGTGGATTTATCATGTCCCGAAGGCTCGTTAATACAATAACTTTCGAAAATATCAATTGTTTAACTCAATCTATTTTTTAATCTCTTCATCTATCATGTGGGAAGCCACTGAATGTAAATGGCAGTGTAATTTTGTTTTGTTTAGCTATAATAGGCTATTTGACTAATTTTGGAAAACCATTTTAAATGATTCTTTATTACGTAATAAGCATACTACATTGATATTTCCGAGAGATCTACTGTATTAACAATAAAAATCAAAGTTAAAGTTTAAATTTCCAAAACCGCGGCAAAAACGCTTATTCTGTAATGGCGCTGGTCATATTCCGTGTGACGTCACACACAAGTAAAAAGGTCAATAACCCTAATAAAACAGTGCAGCTGAAGTGAATTTTATTATTTTTCTTCAAATTTATTCGATAAAATGGTGTATAAATGGTGTGTAGTGCCACAATGTGCTAATACGACTATAAGTAGTCCACAGAAACTGTTTGTTTCTGTTCCAACGAATCCCAAAAGACGAGAAATGTGGTTACGATTAGCTCGAAGAGACCCAAAGAGCATTTTAGCTCATACCAATGTTTTTATGTGTGAAGATCATTTTAATGTAAGTAATATATAACTTTATATATACTAGACTAGATGGTAGCCTAATATCGGTTTTTGTATAAAGTAATAACATCTTTAATACCCAACCTCCAAATATGGCTTAATCTTACAGCATAAGTTGGAAGGATACTTTTCACCCAAACCCTACAGGGTTCCCTGTAGGGTTTCATATGTTATCTGTTATGTTATTTAGCTTTCTTAATAATTTTCTTATGCTGTCTTGTAATGTTTATTGTCTTGTCAAACATAATATAGATACTTCACTCCTTACATTGGCAAATAATGTTGAATTACAGATGGAAAAGGACACAATTAACTACTTGAAGTACAAAATGGGCTTCAGTCAGAAGATACTTTTGGCAGATGAGGCTGTGCCAACTAAATTTCATTGTCAAGAGGATCGTAGAAGTCGGCTACCTGATGCTGGACCTTCTCGAGAAGTTTTCTTTAAAAGGCAAAGAATTGATATTGTCACAGAATGTCTGCGAAGACATAGTACTACAACCCATACAGAAAGCTTACAAAATGATGATATGATACAAGAAATCATTGAGCCTAAAGGTTATGTTATCTATATAATACAAATGTCATAAGATATTTTTTCACATTTAAATGAGTTAAGTTTATGTTATTCACATTTAAATTAAGTAATTAATTTGGTTTTTTGTCTTTTCAGAATTACCAAAAACTCAAGACAAAGAAACAATCACCGACCCTATCATAACTGTAGAAAAAGCTGTTCAAGCAACAAAAAAAGTGAATACGCATTTTAGGAGCAAGGCTGTGCAAACTAGATGCCAAAATAAAAGTATTTCTACCTCACCATGGAAAGTTTCTACAATATCTCATTTATCTTCACCAATTAATATTAAACCATGCCATCTTCAACCATTACAGTCAGAGGTTGTTAAAGCAGTTAAGAGAAATATTTTCCTTGCAGATGAAAAATCTGATAGTGATATTTCTTGTTTTGAAAGTGGTCTTTTATCACCTTTTGGAGCTACATCAGTAAAGGTTACTGACTCTGATAGTAATGTTACAGATACCAATGAGAATATTGAAAAATTACAGTGCCTCAAAAATACTTTGCGTTTAATTGAAAAGAAACCATTGATGTATATTGGTATTTCCAAAGAATGTTATTTTTTAATTGAGTTGTTGCATAGACACACAAATATAAATAGAGAACATATTTTGCTATGCTTGAAAAAAAATAGATTAAACAGCACATTTTCTGAACTCGAGGATAATTTTGGTATATCATTATCTTATGCCAGTAAATTATTTTTAAGAAACTTACCAATAATAAGTAGTTTTTTAAAACCATTCATTGTAAACTTAGACAAAAATTTAATAAAAAGGAATCTTCCTATTGCATTTAGACATAACTATCATAATGTAAGCTGCATCATCGATTGTCTAGAAATTGATATACAAAAACCATCAAAGGCTCTTCATCAGGCTCTGACATGGTCAGAGTACAAAAAGGGGAATACTGTGAAGTATTTAATATCATGCACACCTAATGGTTTGGTTAATTATGTTTCTCAAGGGTTTGGGGGTAGAGCAAGTGATGTTACCATAGTAGAGAACTGTAACTTTCTAGATGGATTACAACAGGGAACTTGCATCTTAGCTGACAGAGGCTTCAAGCACCTTGAACAGATACTTCATGAAAAGGGCATAAAACTATTAAGGCCACCCAGTGTAAATGCTGGTGCAAAGTTATCAAAAACTGAAGTTCGACAAACTAAAATAATCGCTAGCTTGCGAATTCATATTGAAAGGGTAATTAGGCGAGTAAGAGAATTCCATATGCTAAAGCAACATTCAGTGATAAATACTAACATATGTCGTGTACTTGATCATGTCATTATTATTGCATGTGCTCTAATAAATTTGCAGGATTCTCTTATTAAATAATGTGAAATCATAAATAATAAAACAAGAAATACATCATGATTTTTATCGGCTGATATTGAAGCTATATTTGTTTTGCAAAAGAGAGCCATACGGGCGATTTATAACCTAAATTGTAAAGAGTCCCTCAGAGAAAAATTTAAAGAAATAAGCATATTAACTTTGGCATCGCAATATATTTATGAGAATGTAATGTATGTGCATAAAAACATAAATAGCTTTAATAAGAATAAGGATGTGCATACTTTAAATACTAGGAACAAACATAAGCTTGTAATGCCAGTAACTAGACTCCACAGAATCAGTAATTCATTTATGGGGCAATGTATACGCTTTTACAACAAAATCCCAGAACATATTCAAAGTTTGTCAATAAACAAGTTTAAAAGTTTTATTAAAGAAAAACTGTACAAAAAGGGTTATTATAATATCAAGGAATACATGAATGAAAATAACCCCTGGGAATAGGGTGATCGCCACCATGCTGGTTCTATGAAAAATCATTTAAAAATTGTATAAATAAATTATTTTTAAGTGAAATTATGTTTAAAAAAAAAGTCCCGCTGGGTTTCTTGCTGGTTCTTCCCAGGACTGAGGTATTTTCCGAACCAGTGGTAAATAAAAAATTACTTTCAATAAGTATTATGTAATAATCAATATTGAATAAAAAATTATTTTATTCTATTCTTATTCTATTTAATCATTATCACTGAAAAGGAAAAACGGGCCTCCATCGCCCGTCCTGCGGCAGAGATCAACCAATTAGTGTCCTATTCACAGATCCTAATACCACACGACGTTGGGTTCCCTGACCCCTGAGTAGGTGTGCAACTCGGGGCAACATAAAAATTTTCAAATATTTAGCAAAATATAACAATTTTACAAGCTATTTTTAGAGTCATAAATCTTAAATATCTATCACACACATTCAAAACAATGATCTTTATTAATAAGCATGAATATCTTAATACAATTGTTTAATTCAAAAATTAAAACTTTTAAGCAGTATTAAAACTCTTTATTTTTTTTTTTTAAATACTAGTAATGCTATTAAACCTTACTAATATTCCCTTTAACCACTTCTGGTAAGCTTAAAATGCTTGTGTTAGAAGTGGTTCACGACAGTAATCGAATGGCGGATTCGAACCCACGACCTTACGAGTTCGCGGTCCGCGCCCTGCCATTAGGCTACTGACGCTTCTAAGCTTCTTCTGAAGCTTCTTCTTCTTTATTTCAACTATAATTTTTATTTAATATTATTAATGTATTATAATTTTTATATATTAATATTATTCTAGCCATAACACTTAACACATTTCTTATCTTATTATTCTATACAATAATCCTGTAACATTTATTACAATACTAATTAAATCTCTAATTTATTTAATACATTTACATGTTATTGAAACTTTCATAAAATAATTGTTTCTTTAAATGCAATTTTTTTTTTAAATTTTAGTACATTATTGAGATGCCAGTTCTAATCCCATACAAAATGAACAACCAATTTCTACATGACCCTCAGCATCACGGTAGGTGGCTAGAGTTATCTCTATCTAATATTACAGCTATCTCTGTTCATTTAGCCATTATGTAACTTATCTCTTATCATAAGAACATAACATGTTTTCACTCAAACAAATGTCTTATACAATGCAATTCTTTTATTCGTATTACATACCTGATTACTACATAACGCGTGACTTAAGTTAATTTATAAACACATTTTTGACAAGCGGGGATTTTTATCATTATATTGAATTTATTTGCTTTTAACATATATTATTTTTTAATATGAAATACATTTGCTTTTTACATAAATTGTTATTAATTCAAATATGTGGAGTGGATAAAAGTGGAAAAATAATAAACATTAAAGCGTGTCGCCAACAATCACAGACTGGTACCATACAAAATAGGGTAAATATTTGTTTGCCAAAAAGTAGCTAACTTTGGTATTAATTGTCATTAAAAATTATCATATGTCACTAAAATAATGTCAACATTTTTCGTTTCTTCAAAGTTGCTATCAGCAACACAAAAATAGCTCTTTTTTACCCCTGTTGCATACATTTGCAGATGCACCTGTGCCTTACATTTTTCTGTGATAACACCGTTTTTCAAATAACTGTCTTTTGCTTTTGCCTTGCTAGGGCATTTTATTTCAATAACGGCACCTTTTATTAAACCATCAGGTGATGCCGCAATCATGGCATTCTCTTTGCACACATAAAGCCCACATGGGGTGATTTTTCTTTTCAATATATTACTGACTGTCTTTCGGACAGACAGTTCTAAATTTCTACCTCTTCTCATTGCAGCTGTATCAGGTATTTTTGCCCCCATGATAGAAGCCACCAATGAACCATCTGGTGTATGACAAACACTTACTTCATGTGCCCTTGAAGCTGTGATACGGCCATATCGCATCTCATACCACAAGCTGCTTTTGTTCTGCCTCCTTGTTGCTTCTTCAATGGTACTTATCACAGCTTCAGTAAATGTTGCTTTCATCACGTCAATAAACTTGTCTACATCTGCTTTAATTTCTGGAGATTGGTCCATTACTAAACAGTGCAATGAATACTGCATCACATTACTATGCTTAAAATCATGCTGATATTTTAGCAATTCACAGTTATCAATTTTTCTCTTTTTGGCTTCTGAAATAAATTCAGTATAAAGTGCTGATGAACTCGGTCTGTGAGGTACTTCTTTTTTAGACATCTGCTGCACAGTAATATATTTTAGCGTAGTCCCTACTTTGGACAATGTAGGCTTTTTCCAATAGCACTCTATGGAAGTACATGCAGGTTCATCAGAATAGACATGCGCGCCGAGCAAGAATTCGGCGGCGGCGGCGCGCCGACCCATTGTGGTCGGCGTGGCGACGCCGCGCCGGCGCGGCCGTATTTTATTTTAATTTTTATAAACATTTATTTAAAATAAGGTAGTAACAAGTGAAACATAAACCTGGATAGGAATTCAAATTTAATTTCTCAAAATAAAAACAAACCAAACAAGTTCTAATTAATTATACCTTATAATTTGTGCAAAAACGAAAAAGCACATTTTTTTGTTTCTTGCACAAACTATAGGAAATTAAAATTGTGTTTTTTGCACAATGTACAATTATCATGAAAAAAAAATAATTTTATTAACGTGTACTGGGCTTAGTCTAGATCTTTTAGCAGTCACAGTTAGTCCCACTATAGAAAAAACGCGCTCACTAGGCGTCCTAGTAGCAAATGTTCTGATCACAGAGTACTTTTTATATACATACTGAAAGTTCTGATACGCGCTCCAGAGACTGTAAAAATTTAATTTGTTCTATTTCCGCCGCTCGCTTCAATTCCGGTAAGCGATACCGAACGATTTTTACGATCTTTTTACATTTTTTTATTGATTTTTGAATTTTTAAATAATTGCATGGTTTTATTGACCCCGCGCCCGTCCCGCGTTGGTTCACGGCGCGCCGATCGGATTTGTCGGCGCGGCGCGGCGTGGGCAGGGCGCGGCGTGGCGCGGCGGCGCCGGCGCGGCGCGCATGTCTACATCAGAACGGCGAAGGACCCACATCAAAAAAGCAACTGCATGCTTGCATCCTCCAGCTGAAGCAGCACAGTCGTGGCATTGACAGCTCATAATTTCGCTGTCATTTTCATTAATAATCATCGTCACATTATATGGTTTGGTTCTAACTTTATGCTCTGGGCACATTTTACACTTAACTGTACAAACCCCATGCTCCCGTTGTAGTTGGACATAGCCAATCGCATCGTCTCCATAGGATTCCCTTGCAGACCTGTAAAACAAAAGTAAAGCCCATTACAAAGAGAATTTACAAGAAATTTCTAACTATATCAACATAACCTAAAATGAGATATTACAAAACTTCTGAATGACAATCATATTTATAGGTTTGTAAATAAATAATTCGTACATAGTACTTACACTGCTGTTTTCACATTCTTATGTTCTGCAGCATAGTAATCAGCGTTATTCTTAAAGAAATCTGCAACCATAAATCCGTCTATCTTAGGCAAGTTGCTGTTATCGGCTCGCACAAAATTTGATTCCATTTTGAGATACAAAACGAATATTTATGCCGCTAGTTATCAAATTTATCAGAAATACTAATTCAGAAATAGCTCAAAGATCGAATATAGCACCCAAAAACGTAGAACTCGAACTACAATCACTCAAAGCAGCTATGTTTACTCGCGTGTGACGTCACCAGAGTCGAAACCAATCACAGGGCGTTCTCGTTACAGATAAAATTAAAAAAAAATTATGTTTTATTTTCGTTTATTTTGCATAAAATATAAATATCTTAGGTTAAAATAAAGTGAAATATATTTTTTTTACCCTATTATCTGATAGGATGACCACAATTTATAGTATATTTTCAATGTTGTCAAATAGCCTCCAAAATGGCGAAATTTTCGTTGATTTGGTAGCCTTGTATGTAAATTATTTCTGTAAATGGGAATATGTATAGCCACAGAGTCGTTTACTCACTCACTTAGTTCGGCCTCAGTTTCCAGTTTATAAAATGTACTCTGTGGCCTCAATCGCCGTCGTGAGTGGAGGTGGACATTGTTTCCATAGACTAATATATAATACTGGAGATAGACTAGCAACTGAAGTTTTCATATTTAGTTACCGTTCAGCGCCCTCTGAACGCCAAGCAATGAACTAAATTAAACATTATATGTATATATATATGTGTGTATATATATATATACGTAGTTGTGTATATGGCAATATGTATAGGTACTTACGTATGAATTGCTGTTTTATTTATAGATAGAATATTTTATCTATAAACAAAACGGCAATTCATACGTAAGTACCTATACATATTATTTATATGTCGTTTTAGATACTTAAACAGTGTTTTGAAGTAAGCATATTTTTAGGGATGTTTTTAGATACACAAGTTTAAGTATCTTTGGGTATTCGGGTAAAGGTAATGAGATAAATAATACAAAAATATATAATTCAATGAATTTATTAATTATACATTAATACATTAATTGCGACGCCTTTTTGCCTCTCGTTTCGCACGCTTTGTTTTATTGTAATGTTCTCAAGCCCGTAGGAAAAATGGAGACATTTTCACCACTATCATTACATAAATTATAATAGCTCTTGCTATTAAGTATATTGCTGACTTCTTTGCACCAAGTAATTATGAAGAACACAACACTTTTATGGGCCAAATATTTCTTTAAATTTTCTTAATGTATTTCACATTTCATAAAATTTAAGTTGATGTGGACTGATATAAACAGCATGATATATTTAACAATGTTTTCTACATGTGCATATTTATTTAAAATATTCCATGTTATGTGTTCTACTGGTGCAAAAAAGTCAAACAATGACCGGGTAGGATAGCATAACCATCTTTTGCCACAATATTCTTTTTTTATTATAAAATTGTGGAAATCTGCATTATTTGATGATGTTAAATTATTTTGACATGTTTTACATTTTTTAAATATAAACTTTTTTGTTTTGATTGCTATCCACCCACTACAATAAGCTATGGCCGCACATTTCTCTACATGAACTTTGGTACGGCTTTCTAGAATTTGTTGTGTATTTATTAAATCAATATTTAAATGTTCATTGATAATTTCTGCCCTTAACTTATTTGTTATTAATTTAAAACCTTCTATAGTGTTTACCCAACTGGTTAGAGATGGTACAGTTACCTCTTTACTATTATTATTAATATACTTCATTGACCTAAAAATGGGTAATGTTTTGTTCCATAATTTTAAATGGGATGAGTTTGGTGTGACAGCAGATCTGTATATTTTACCTTCTTCTTTATGTTAATTTGAGTCAAACAGGTTGTTGAACAGCATTATCAAATGTGCAGTGTCCACACTTTCCTCTGGCAAGCACCCACTTTCTAGAAATTATAATTTTATGTTAAATATATATAAGTATTAAATTATTGTATTTGCTTTTATTATTGGGGCATCCTAAACTACTGGATAATGTTTAGAGGCATTTCACACCAAGTGTACATTATGTGTATGAGACAAACATGCATCATACAAATCATTTTTTGGCTACTGATATTGATTATAATAATTCATTACTGTCCCACTGCTAGGCACAGGCCTCTCAGAAGTAGAAGGATTAAGCCTTAGTCCACATGCTGCCCTGATGTGGTTTAGCGGACTACACACACATTGAGAACTTTATGAGGCCCTCTCAGGTGTGGAGGTTTTCTCCCAATGTTTTGCAGCACTGTAAACGCAAGAATAGAATAGAATAGAATAATTTTTTATTCAATATACATTACATGTGTAATTCTTATTGAAAGTCATTTTTTACTTTACCACTAGTTCGAAAAAAAAACCCTCTGTCCTGGGAAGAACCAGCAAGAAACCCAGCGGGACTTTTTTTAAAAATAAATTTTACAATATAAATGATTACGAACTATTTACAAAATTTATTTTAGAAACTGCTTGGAAGCGACCACCTCATTCCCAGGGGTTATTATCAACCATGTATTCATTTATACTATAATAACCCTTTTTATACAGTTTCAGTTTAATAAAACATTTAAACTTGGTAACAGAGAGAACCTGTACACTTTCCGGGACCTTGTTGTAATAGCGTATACATTGCCCCAAGAATGAATTACTGACTCTGTGGAGTCGAGAAATTGGCATCACTAGCTTGGTGTTTGTTCCTAGTGTTTACAGAATGTATATCACTTTTTTTACTAAAACTATCTTTGTTTTTGTGAACATACATTAAATTTTCGTAAAGATACTGAGAGGCCAAAGTTAATATATTTATTTCTTTAAATTTATCTCTAAGAGACTCTCTCGATTTGAGATTGTAAATAGCTCTAATGACCCTCTTCTCTCTTTAGACAAGTAATCAATAATCAAATTATGTTCCTCACATAACCTGCATGAAATGCAAGTGTTTGACCGCTGGGCTAGAATGCCATTTTGTTTTTATAAAGAAAATCTAAATTTTATTGAAACTCAATTCAAATTAATGTTTAATGATTATGACCTACATTACTCCCGGGTTGCCTAACAAAAATTTGTCCCACATACCTTTAATTAAATATATTGTAATTAAAACAAATTGCAAAAACATATTATATTATTTTTGGTTAATTCACTTAATTCATTAGTTTCACACAGGTTATAAATGAATGTACAATAAATATATGTTTTATTGTACATTCATTTATAATCTGTGTGAAACTAACACAGTTGCTAGTATTAAATAAACTTAATCAAAAACTGATTTACCTGATACACCTGCAGAGGGTAAAAGGAAAGATGGAACAGCCAATTTACAAAGCCTGCTTTTTGGGTAAAGAAACTCTTTCTGAAAGTGCTGACGACAGATTCTATGAGTTTTACAGGTGTTGTCCAGACTCACAATACCACCTCCAATAAGTTTTACTCAATTATGAAACCTTTCTGCATCTTTCTCAGGCCATGGAAAGTAATGTAGAGGTACACCTGAAAATAAAATAAAGTGACTATAATGGGCCTGAATGAAATGTGATTTTAAATCATTCTAAGTTACTCTACATTATTTTACAATACATAATAATGTAATTTAATAATAGTAAAATAAATTAAGTTATTGATAAATAATTAATCATAATTATTTTTCTAGATCACTTAGTTAGAGTTCTAAAGACTAGCAATGTAATAAAAGACAATTTCAAAAACTCAAAAGCCCGGCTAAAGGGGTGTAGGTAGATGCAGATGTATAGACCCACATTTTATGTGAGAGAGTTTATTATAATTACATATATATCATCTGATATCAAGGATGACGTTTTGTACCATAGGGACAATCAACTAAATTATTAATTTTCATCATTTTCTCTGTCGGTCTAGGTTATTTACTACAGATAAAGAATCTTGATAATATAATTATGTATTTTCACTTTACCTTGCATTTCAAAAATCTAAGAATTTACAAATGAAATATATATAAACCCTCTTGTGAACTCTATGTAATAGTTAGGTCAGTGGCTTGTCTTAGATTCATTAGTAAGTTTAGAGATTTTTTCAATCTAAGTCAAATCTTATTTATTCATTTAGACCATATCAATGCCTATTGGTTTGACTTTTGAAAGTTGTTCGAAAATGTAGATTCCGATGGAGAAAAACATGCAAGAAACTCTACTTTTAAATGCAAATTGAGAAAAAAGACATTTCAAGATTGTTTATCATGATTTAGTACTTGCTCTAAGGTTTACTATGAGTTAACTGAGCCGACAGACTACGGCCCGTATTCTAGAACGACACTCAGCGGCGATCTCTACTTGAGCACATCTTAGTGACGTATTTGTATGAAATGATAGACTCAAATCATTCTCAAGTAAAGCTGTGTTTGAGCATCATTCTAGAATAAGAACCTACATGTAGCATTTATTATTTTTAAATGTTAAAAAACCTTATAGGAACTAATGGTATTTTAGAAATGTTGACTTACTGAATAAATAGAAATGTCGTTTTTCACTGCTTTTTAATTGTTAAAAACAGAGTAACCAGTTTATGGTGTATTAGGCACGTGAAATATAAGCCAGCGTAGAATACACATATTTGTTTAAAAGACTATTGAGGTTATGAAACTTCAGAATATAAAAACACACTTTACTCACCATCTTCTGCTACTACTTGGCACCCAGGAACACAGAAGATATTTCGAGGCATTGTGTAAAATGTAAAATAACACTACACTGAGATATATGGTCCAAACTCCCTACGGAGCGCCTATCAACATGTATGTCCAAAACACTTTCACAAAGTACAGTCTATGCTAGAATTTCGGTATTTCTGGAATATACGAAGAAACTGAAGCTCGACTCAACGTAGTAACACAAAAAACATCAAAAATTACAAGAAAAATGCGCACGAGTATGCAAACACACCGGTGAGAAATTTCTTCTAGTTAGACTCAGTGTTGTTAAAATTTGGTATCAATAAACTACTCTAAAGATTCTATGATCGTAATTGTAATAAATACTATATAAATTATAATATCACTAGTAATATAAAATATTTTTAAAATA